AAGCGTGACCTTCGAAATTACCCAGTTGAAATTTAACCTAACATTTAAAGTGGTTTTCAACCAGTGCGATGGAAGACAGTAAAATCATGAATCGAAAAATTTGAATAACAAAATTTAGGGGGGCTTGTTGACTGCTGTTGTACAGAATGAGAAAGAAGGGGAACGCAGGTTGTTCAAAAGCAGGAGCAGGGGGCGAACCAAAAGAAGAGATAAGTCCTTTAGAAAATGTGCAGGCAAAGGCGTACATTCAAAAGGGAAGGAAAGAAGTTTTTGGAAGAAAAAACATGTAGACGAGAAAGTGGTGAAGACCTCTTCATATCCGATCTTTAGGAAGACGAGTTCACGCTATTCTCCTCTCTGACGCTCGCTCCTTGGAAGGATGAGAAGGGATGTTAGGACGTGAGTGAGACGGACAGGGGAACGACGACTGGAACATTCTAACCTAGACGAAACACGCGCAGCAACCACCAGACTTCTTGAGTTTCTGCTGCCAAATTATGTACTTATGATTGCCTCCGTCGGGAGAGAAGGCGATCCAGTTGTCCTTGACATTGTCAACTTTTGGGATGTTATGTTCATCATCAAAAGTACGACTCCGCCAGCCTAGACCATATTCTCGATCGAGCTGCATCAGGGTCTGATGCACGGAGCCACTCGCGTCCTCTTCTTTCCATTCATTTTTGAAGATTTCCATGACTCGGGACTTCATGGGATCCTTCATTGGGCCTCCCAGATATGTGACTTCCTTCTTGACCTGCGGTATAGGCGCCGGAGATCTGGATGAAAAGAAAATAAGTAGCTGTAGTGATTTACAATGAAATTTTATATTCCTCCGGATTTGCGGTGTGCACGATAGGCGTTTTATGACCACAGTGACGAGAAAGATGTTGTGCATTAAAAATTAAAGTAAGCCAAAAAATAGAGAGCCCAAAGCAAGACAGTACATACGCTGGTGGTTTCTTGTTCAACCCGATTACGTCACAGAAATGTTCGTAGGTGAAGCTGCCGGTTTTCTTGTCGTCAAACAGGGAGATCCATTTCTGAAACAATTGATAAAAATAGAGAACTTCGAGCAAGCCCAATACCAAATGTTAAAAAGCAAAAACAATGTCGATGCAAATAAGTTGTGAATTATGGATGTTGGATTTGTGAAAGGTCATACGGTGGTCTTGAGGATTTCTAGTCGATAAACTGGCAAGTCCGGTTTGTAATAACAACTACGTCAGCTTTTTTCTTCATCCTTTCAATAAGAGTTGATTTTGGCAAACATCGGTGGCAAAAACCACAAGACAAATGGAGTAGCGAACTAGCGGTAATAGCATCAAATTCCGAAGCAATAACGCTGCAAACTGGGTGACTCAGAATTTGCTCAAATAGCCAGCATCATGACAGTATTAAAATTTACAGCTTTGGTGTGTTCAAGGAATCTCAGTCTTCCTTTCCGAATGCTATTAGTTTATCCGACGACGTTAGTACTTCAGAAACGGCAAGGTTATGACCCAACCAATCAGCATTTGAATCCACTTCTGTTACTGTTAAATCTGTTAGCTTCATCGTCTAGATCCAGAAAGGGAAACCTCATAATCCTTTGAAAATTCTGTGTGTTTTACATCCTAAGAAGGCGGCAATTTAAGGAACTAAGACACTTATGAGTGTTCAACAATAATGGCTGCTCGAGGTGAATCTGGGTTGCCATCCAAAATTAGGCTGCCTCAGAGTAAATAACC